TTGTGATCAAATCCTGTCAGAAAACATCTGCAGAAACATAAACCATAGGAACTAATTGCTCAATATGCATGGAACAGACCAGCAACCTCAACCTCTAAATGTGACACTCAAAGTACATGGTAAAATAAAATTTGCTCAGTGTAGAATACTCCATGCACTGCATAAACTACACAAAAAGAGAGCAAGAAAAACCACTGTTGTTCAAGCGGACTCTTCGGTCACGTTAATTGCACTATCAAAAGCTCAATCTCCCTTCTCACAAGCTATATATTATATAAATTAGTTGTGTTTGGCCTGTCAATGCTTAATTCAAATCAGGCTAATCACATTAAACTGTGTAACGAACGAGCCAATCAAAAATGCTCACATATGTCCTTGCGATTGAGGGATTCAAACATGATATTGTGAAGCAAGTTAAGCCTAAGAAGATCATCATTGCAAGTTACATGTAAGCTTAAATTATGATGAACAATTTAACAAAGGGAGGTAACTATCAGTGGTAAAAAGGGGGGGGGGGGTACCTATGAGTTATTTTTTAAGTATATTTTCATAAGTCTCGCTTGCTCAAGAAATGAGGAGGCAATTACATCTATATGTAGTAGGATTTCCTCGTGACAAGTTTTTGACTTCCTACTTTATCGACAGTCAAGTATTCTTCAAGATATTTTATTTTATATATGGCATTTGACAATTTGTTTCTGAATTGATTGAATACATGTGCATAAATACACTAAAATTAAGGGCCTAGATTCGAGTATGAGTTTATAATTACACCATTGCCAGAGAGCAAAAAAAGTGACGAACATGGCATGTCATTCCGGTCATCGCTGAAAATGAAACAATGAAAGTTTACAACACCCGACCAGTTAGCCGCACCATCTGCCCCATTGATCGAAGTTTTGCTCATTAAGATTCTTCTTTTACTCGACCACTTGTTCCAAAGTAATCACCACTTTTAAGCAATAGAATTCGTGGACCAACCTATTCCAGAAAAGCTCTAAATCTTTTGCATTAACTTTTCCTAAGCTTTCTTCACAAAACATTCGTGGCGAGCTCCTGAGTCATGCCACAATTCGTTATATCCCAAGTTTCCATGGTCACCGCTATGTTCAACCCTGCAGGGACCATGTCTTCTCTTATGTGGACTAAATACAAGGAACAAAACATGGCTTACAGATTCTGAATCTGCAATTGAGACTAACAAGAAATTTGGTCATCAGTTTTGTTAGGGTTATATGACATAATACAATTATTATGAATAACTTTAAAAAGTTTAAAATTTATTTTTGTGATTTTAAATCAACAATGTATCTCCTTCATACGTAAAAACTAAGAACCTAATTAGGAAACTACATAGCCTAAATTCCCATTAAGTACCCCAAAATACAAGAACCTATTTTGCCAGACTTCAAAAAAAGTAGGTTCTTATTTTCTGGTGTTACTGTAGCTCATTTACCGGTTTTATGTAAATGATTGGCCACCATGGTAGCTTTATGCACCATAACAATAGGTTCATGAGGAATTGAAGTGAGTGAGTTCACTTGATTCATGTAAGAACTTTTAATGAAAAAACCAGTGCTGTGTTTACATTTGTTCATTACCAGTTCACTGAGGTTATTTTAAAATGCCTTTCATGTTTAGTGTCAGCAGAAAATACATGTACATTTAACAACAATATTAAAACTGTTTAAAAAGTTTAAAGAAAAACTTGCAGTGACTCCAGGAGGTATTACATGTATACCTGCATAGGTTCATGAGAAAATTGAAACTGTTACCCTCCACACCAGGATGCGGAGGGCATCAGAAATTCCAGTGGGAAGGGGGTCCAAGAGGAGGCAATTTCCAAGGGAGTGGGGTCTGAGATTCTCAAGGTCTTTTTTCCAGGGACTTTAAATGAAACAAGAATTATTGTTTTCATTGATGATCTTACATTAACAGATATAGCTGAATGCTTTTTTCTCAGCTTACCTGTGTAATATAGTCTACATATCACAGGGAAAAATTTCAAAAAAACATTAGTGAATTTTAAGGAAACATCATGTTTTTTCTTGAAATACCATTTACAAATTTTGACATTAATGGTATCTTCTCCTATCTTCTACTTTTAACATTCTTAATAATTAACCACTAATGTTAATTCTGCAAATACCATCATGTGTAATAGGGAGAAACCATTCTTGTATTTGAAAATCCACATTTAAAATGAAAACAAAAACACATTAACTGAATTCATTGAAAACCCAAACATGGGTGTTACCAAAAAAACATTAATGGCACTTTCAATTTATTCTCACCAATTAACCATTCATGGGTTTTTTAATACCATTCACAGAAATACTGAAAAAACCATTCCTGGAAATTTAGAACACATTACTGTAAATTAACATTTCACAAGAACCCATCATGTAATTTGTGCAATAACCATTTATGGTTCTCTGGACCTGCTCTCACAAATTTACCATTCACAGGAAACTCCCAAAAAACATTCATGGCACATCAGCTGTAAATTTTAAGCCTTAACATGCCATTTTGTATAATTACCATTACCTTTATTTCTTCTTTCTCATCAGTCAAAAATCATTGTATCATTATGGGTTTTTGAACACCATTTGAATAAGAAAGAAAAATAGGCTGGTACTGTAAATGATTATTAAACTTACATGAAAACTCCACGTATGGATATGATAGGTACAATGCAGTTACAAGGGAGTACTTACAGTGTTTGTAAACTATGCTTGCTAAGTTGTAAAGTCTATAAATCTAAAAAATTAATGCCCCTCAATCACTAAAAACCATGTGTGAGAATTTACAACACGTAATTACTGTGAACTAATAGCTCATTTCAAATGTTAAACACTAAGAACTATTGGAAATACCTTTCTCATCAAAAAAGAACTCACTATACTCAGTCATGTATTATGGGAAAAGAGATACATTAACTACAGTACTCTTATGTAGCATATTTCAAATTGCTTTCCCTTTTGAAAATTATTCCACTCTAATTTGAGTTATTTGGAGAATGAGCCATCTCATTAACTACTTGCTGCATTGAGAAAAAAAAAACTTTATGCGTAAGCAAATCTGCAAGTTTACAATGTAATCATTCCATTTCCCAAGCACCCCCTCTCCATTCACCACTTGCTAGGCACATAACAGAGTCCCATGAGACAAAATCCTGTGCTTGTCGTGTATTGCGAGATGGTACATACAGGTTTTCACCTGGTCTTTCAACGTCTTCTATATAGTACCAAACTTTCACAGTTTTTGCTCTTTCTTGGATGGTCAACACCTTTGCCAACCAAGGACTGGGGTCATCTCCTTTAATGAAAATCATGTCGTTAACTTGTGGGAAGAAAGGCACAAGAATATCAAGATGTGAAATTGGTAGGTTTTCCCGTTGGAAGTCTACTACTATCCTTCTATCAGGATGTTCATCATCAGCTGAATTGTAGAGAATAATTTTTCTTAAAATGGCTTTGACAGGAACAAGGAGGTCTTGTACATTTGCATTGTCAATCACCAAGCCTCCACTGTAAGGATCAGAAACAGGGTCACCATCCTCATCGACTTCCTGAGTGAATTTCTTGACTTTCACAAACTTAAAGAACTCTCCCTCAGAATTAAGGCACAAGAAATTTGTTATTTGGCAAAAATATTCATGAGCACCAACTTCACAAACAATATGTTCTCCATTTCGGTACAGCATGCCTTTTGAAGTTTGAACAGGCCTCCAGAAGCTTCGGAAAGAGAAGGCAATATCTGGTAGAACAAAAAGCGAAGTTGAATCTAATGAATTACTATTAATCAAGTCAAGATCTTCCGGTGAAAACTGTACTTCATTGAAGAGCATCCCACCAACAAAAACTCCCTCCTTGTAGCTATTTTCTAACAAAGGCATCGTTGTCAACATTTTCTCGATATATTTGGCACCTTCCAAGGATTTGGCACACATCTGAAAAAAAAAAAACAATAACAGCAATTAAAGAACAAAAAATTTATCAGAATCTGATTATGGTGTAAAACAAAGTGCAAAAAGTCTGCTGTAGATAAGGCTTGATGGTTCAGTTTTAAGAGTATTAAAGAGCTGATAAGTGGAGAGGTACATGCACATTCTATTTTCGGTTCTCATTAAGTGTCAAAGACAAAAGGGTCTTCATTGAACAACAAAATCTCTTACAGAAAAGATCACGTCTTAAGTTTATCTTGTGAGAACAATTCGGTAACCAATAAGCGTTACATAGAGTGTTTTCACTTAACGTCACGGCGGCCATGCAAATTAATTGGTGTCCCAAACCAATCCTCCGGGTGTTAAACTCTTTTCATACGTGAGTAAAAACATTCTACACATAAGCAAGATATTTTAAGAAGTTATTCAGTGAGTTCTTCGTGCCGGCATGGCTGTGGCTTTAATTTACCCGCCTGTAAAAGCCGCGTTTTCTTCATATAACGGGTAATTTTGTGACAGCTTGCATTGGGCACGGTTCTTTTTGTAAAAGTTGTATAAAATGAGAGAATTGCCATTCCATAAAATCATGAAACAAACACTGAAAGCTTTAGAATGCACTCTTGTAGCTTTGCAAACTCACCTTAGAGAGATAACGTTGATGGACTGCAAGGAATTTTGTAACGTCCAGTGTCTATACTCAACTGATGTTGAGACAGGCTTTCCACTACATGATCTGCAGGGGCAATGGACATGAGTGTACGAAAGTTCACTGCAGTGACAACGAACAATTTTGCTTCGATCCCAACTTCTCTTTCTTCCTGCCATTTGCTTTTATACAACTACAGCATGTCTGGAAGTCTGCTTCGATCGTGTTCAAGACTGGGTCGAGTGCTTTGTTACTGCGCGTGAAAGCGAGGCACACTACCCCGTATATCGCACTTCGCGCCAAAACTAAACCAGTGAAGAAGACGAAAGCGTCCGTTGCGGAGAAAAAGGTCGAAAGAAGATGGCCACGGCCGTTAATAACCGAGGGACATGTACAAAAGCAGAAGATATGAGTGTTTTGGAAGTTTTTGAGTGGATAAAAAGTAACTTTAACGAAACAGTCGCCGCCAAATTCAAAGGTAAGCTAAAGTCAAACTCCACTGAGTGAAATACACAAGTGGCGCGAAAAAAAGTCAAGCAAATTTTCCGTACTTTTCTTCTTCTAACAGAGCAAAACATCAATGGAAAAGGACTCCTTTTCCTAGCAGACAGAGGGACAAAACAGCAAATGGAAGCGTGTGGACTGGACCTTGTTGGGGACCAAATGAAATTGTTGGAGGTTCTCGAGCTCGACGCAATGGAGTCGAACATAAGCTTTAAGAACCATCAACCAAAAAAATTGACAAAACCGTCAACCAAAAACATCGACAAAGAACTACACAAGCGAATATACAATGCTAAGTAAGTTTGATTTTTCTTTTACTTTGTAAGTTTACAATTAAGCCATCCTCTGAGGTGAGGCTAAAAAAGGAACATCCCAATGCAAATCCTGAGTGGAATTTATTATGGGGAAAGGATTGGGTATTTGACGAAATCTACATCGTTTTGTTTATTTGCATGCGTGACAAGATGTAAACTAAAATCAAGTTACTTGCATAAAGTTGATGTGATGTTTGAAGTGACCTTAGATATTAACAACACTCGGTGTCTTTCTCTCCGACTGTGAGAGTGAAAATTTATTTTTGTAAACTTGAAGTAGAAATCTTCATCTGTTAGTCAAAACAAAATGTGAACTTAATCTAGCTTTCAACTAGATAACTATTTCTACCTGTATTTTTACAGCTGATGATAAATGCTAAGGAAACAGTTTATGTTGTATCCGCCAGAGAAGGAAGAGGAAATTGACCAAAGATGATCTTTTTTTTTTTCTAAACAGAAAGAAAGCTGTGAAAGCTGCTGTAATAAAAAAGTGGCCAGGAAATGACCTACCAAATTTCAAGAAAAATCCATCTCAGCTTAAAGTCTTACACGAGTTGGTTGAAGAGTTAGAGGAAGATTGCACATATATGACAGTGGGCTTTAACAAAGAAGCCATCCGTAAGCACATCTTGGACATTTTAAATGAACGGCGCAGACATGTTAGAAGTGGACATGATTATACAAAGGTATGACCATGTTTTTTTTGGAGCCTGTGTTTGTAGTTATGCACCCATAGGTAAATTACATGGTTTACTTGACAGGTGAATAAGGCTAAGAAGAAGCAATCACCTCAGGTGGCTTCATGTAAACCAGATGATACACAAACTGAAAATGATGAGTGTACCCAGCCTGAAAACAGTGATGGTGGTGATACTGAAGATGTGCGTTCATCTGATGATAGCCAGTCATGTAGCAGTGCTTCTTCCCCTTCAACCTCAATGCTGCCTTCATCTGAGGATGATGAGAGCAATAAAGGTATTTTTGGACTGTATTTACTATTTGCCAGACTTGAAACAGAGTCCTCATTTCTTGGAAAATAAAGGAATGGACACCCAAAACAGCACAAAAATATTTCAGTGAATGATACTCAGCTTCATCTTCTCAATGCCTTCTTTTTCATTTTGCAACAAAATCGTGCTCCACACATTTTAAAAATCAAGGGCATAACCTCTTGTATCATTTTTTGCTACTGTCCAAACAACAAAAAATTGCGACCTTTTTTTACTCTTTGTTGACTTGCAGTTTCTAAAAAAATATATACTCAAATAGAGCCCTTATTCACTCACAACTGTTTTTGTTATTGAAAAAAAATTGACTCCATTTTTCTATTGTTTGTACTGTTATTGATCATAGAAATGATGGCATAAAATATTGAAAACTTTAAAAACCACCAAGTTTTGGACATTTTATGACGTCATTTCTATGATCAATGAGAGCACAGACAATCCCTGTGGTGATATCAATGTTGGAAGCAGTTCCCAAGATATGGTCCCTCTTACTTGGTAGGGTTAAATTAATATTATAGCTTACTATGGGGAGTTGAGTTAACTATAATTATAATAGTGCCAATGATATTATTGTTAACTATCTTTATCTTTTTCTTTTCTCACAAGGCATTCCTATGGCTTCAGCTAAACTTATAGTGGCATGTGCCTTCAATGAAGTCCGAGTGGTAGACATATCACGTTCACAGTTGCAATCAGCTGCTAAAACATTAAAGGTTCCCATTAAAGAATCTGAATCAAGGTCAAAGGAAGTGTTGATTTCCAATGTTGCACAAGCTCTTGTCAGTAAAGGATTTGTTAAAATACCACCCAAAGAGAAAATTTCAAGAGATGATGTTCAGATCTTGAAGCCTTTTTAACTCACAACCTTGGTGGCCTTCCTGTTCCTGTTATGTACCTTAGAAAAAGCTGTTGGTGTCGTCTCTTTATCTATAAGTCATGAATCTCATCCTTCAATGTACTTAAGACATTCAATGGTACCGAAGAGAAAAATGTGTTAATATTATCACTTTTGGGCCAGCATTTACTTCTTATGGCTCATACTGTTAATATTTCTTTTTCCTGCTAAGTCAAATGTGTTCTATATTGTTGTCCTGTCTCAGGATTTTATGTGGTAAGTTAACATGTGCAGGTTTCTTTATATTGTACCAGTTTTTGTAATTACTAAAGATGTCAGCCTATTGTATTGCCAGGTGTTAGGCGGTCAAATCTTGTTCTGTTAATTATTGTCATTTCTGAAGGAAGACATTAAAACATTCATTATTGAAATGATTTAATTTCTAAACATCATTATTAGTTCTCAGTTTAACAGACTGGCACATATTACTGTAATGCAACCAATGAGCTAATTTAGTAATATTGAAGATATATATGCCAAGAAGAAAAACCACTGTGATGTGACACCCTTGGCAACGTCACAATAGTAAGAAATCCAAACCCAGGTATGGCTCTAGAAAAACCACTTATGGAAATGGAAACAATTCCATCAATGTTAACAGTTAAACCATGAATGTCATCATAAATAACATTAAGTGGTACTGCTTAAAAGCCAATAGTGGTTATAAATCAAAACCCAGAAATGTGCAAAGAAAACCATTCATGGAAATATACAAAAAAACACAAAAGGTTAAAAGAACCATTCATGTGTTCTTAAGAAAAAACACCAATGTGTTTGTTTACAAACTAAAATGGGAATACCTTAAAACCCAAAAATGTTTTCAGGATTAACATTCATGGAAATGGAGGAAAATCCTGTAATGGTACTAGTAGAAACATTAATGTTTAAAAGGGAAAAAACATAATGGGATTTGCTTTTTACCACTAATGGTATAACTCAAAATCCCAGTAATGGAAAATATATTGCCATGAATGTTTTCTGTATAAAAAAACATTAATGTTTTCAGTTCTGCTTTTCCATTAATGTATTTCAACATGTTATTCTATCATTTTCCATTAAAAAAAACAAGAATGATTTTTTTAATTTTTTTCCTGTGTATATCTAATATGAATGTCATATCGGCTCATGAATAATGCCAGTCATCCAGCTCATTGCTTTATATTTCACAATATAATTGTGGTATTCACTGTGTTATGGTCATGTTCTATTAGCCTTCTTTTAACTTGTTCTTAACTGTTTTTTTACTGGTTCTTTCATAGATGCTCTCATAGTACACTGGGCAAAACTGTTCTGGATTGATGTTACATTATACAAAAATATAACAAGCCAAGAAACCTCAATTATATTTTTCTCTTTTGAAGTTTATCAAATTCCACACATTGGAAAATTTGATTGTGCAAGGAGGACTTGCATTACAGCGTATCCAAACACAGTAACGAAATCACAAAGGTATGCAAAAATCACATTGTTTTTAAGAAAAAAAAATGAATAAAAAAATGACGGGTTATTGTGTTAAGAATATCGTGACGTTTTTGTGGATGTTTCAAAAAGCATTCAACGGGAAAGCACAAGGAAAACTTAAGGACAGTCTACAACTTATTTGACCACTCAAATATAGCCCTTTCTTCAGACTTGCGTCATCTTAAAACTCTTCTTGCCACTAGGTCGGTCTTCCATCTGTTTTGAAGATGGCAGCCTTTTGCTGACGCTCTGTTCCATGCTAGCAGCCACGAAATGCTGCTGTGTTAAAGCATAGTCGGCCAAGAACTTCTGACACTGCTATGTGGGCCTCTCTAATAGTTGCTGGACTATATTTCTTGGCTTTTCTCTCAGGGGCTTGCCATTTTTAGTCTCACGTTGTGTTGCACAACAGCTTGATTCAAACAACTCTGTGGATTTGCCTCGTGGCCCTTCAGTGGTAGCATATACATGTATATATGTATCGCAGCTTGAATCTTTTTTGACTCTCTTAACTGCTGATTTATCAAAGGATAATTATGCTGCTGCACGTAAATGACTCGATCCAAGTTATCTTTGCAGCAAGATTTATTTGGAGACAACATTCTAACATGACAACGCTTCTTTTTCATCGAAAAACTTGTGATTTGTTTTTCTTAAAAATTACATGATTTTGTGTACCTTGGTGATTTTGTTACCAAGGTTTGATACGCCGTAACGCAATTCCTTCTTGTGTGATCAACATGAAAATATTATTCCATTACATGTGGAATTTAATATTGTTTGAAAGGACAAAAATATCATTAAGGGTCCTTATAATGGCTTGTTTTATTTTTGTATGATAAAACATCAATCCAGAACAGTTTTGTCCAGTTTATTATGTCTCTCATAAGGTATTGTGTCCTTGGTTGTCTAGCTGTGACATGCACCTCTACTCACTGTTAGTAATGAACAAAGAAAGACCTTTACATGCAAGGCAAAACTGAGAACATTAGACACTGTTTTAAGATGAAGAAAAAGATTTTTCCTCTCTTTATCACAGAAAACATGCAATTATCTTTCACATTAAAAGTATAGTGCAATAGCATTTTTGATAAAATAAATATTCTCTTCAGGGGGGGTCTCAACTAAGTTAGATAACAGAAAATTCTGTGGCGTGGTGTGTATGACAAGCATCCCCTAGAATGGAAATTATAGGGGTGTGGGTGGTCTAAAGTAAAAGTGCCCTGCAAAGGGGTGGGGTTGGTCGGGGGAGGGGGGGGTATTATGGATGTTTTCTGGAACTACACATTACAGTTTACTCAATCACAGTCAACTGTAAGTTGTGAGTCAGGCAACAAATAACCCTTGTTTTTAAGATGTTTTGTGGTAGAAGTAGTTTTTAAACTTTCTTTGCAATATTATTTCAACTCAGTTGCTTTAAATGTCAGAAAGTAGGTTAAGTTTCTTGAAATTGATTTCTTGGAATCGAACCCATTACAGTTGCACCTCTCTAATACGGACACCGAAGGGACAGAGCGGGGGAAGTGTCCGAATTAGAGAGGTGTCCATACAAAAGAAGTCACTACGATGACATCACTTAAATTGTGACTCCACTTACAGTTTTAAGTGTTCACTAGCTAAAACCAGACTTAGACATGTCTTGAAACTGCATTGAAGCTCATTGAAGTTTATTAATTCATAGTACTAAGACACTGTCTTTCAGTAGCATACAAAATTGTACATATCAGCTACATACGTACAGTCGTAGACATATCACTGTTTTAAGATCAAAAGAGCTACAGCACAATGCTGGATGTAAAAAGTTGTAACGTAAAGCACAATTCTGAAAGCGCCTTTCGCTATTTTGTAAGTAGTATTAAAAAACAGTAACTAGAGTACAAAATGTAATGGAAAAGATCTTCATGGTATCTGTAGTTATTGAAGCCTTCAAAAAGTTGTTTGGTATACAGCAACTTGGCTTTTGAAGTCACCTTGCATAGCTCATCAGCCAGACTAGATGGGATCTACCCATGCAAATTCACCTGATCGAGATTCGGAATTCACCTGATTACTAGAGCGTCCGTAATAAAGAGGTTAAGTTTATTGAATTTACTCTCTGGGGCCCAAAATTTAGTGTCAGTTGTCCGTATTAGAGAGAGTCCATATTATAGAAGTATATTTTTAAGGTCAATATAGGAGAATTTTGTCAGGACATTGGAAACTGTCCGTAACATAGGAGAGGTGTCCGTGCCGAGAGGTACGACTGTAGTTTAGTAGGAGAAAGAGAAATCCATTTTTGGTGTGTTTACGTCCTCCATAAAAAGTCCACTAACAGAGGGAATTTTATGCGGCTTTTATGCAGTGATGTCAAAAAAGTGTGTCTTCTTGTTTGGCCTAGGAGAAGTATAAAATTAATGTATTTTGCTTTTTTGATGTCTTTATTGCTGTTGCAGTTGTTGTTGCTACAGCTCTCTATTTTGATCTGAAGGGGCATAGTGTCATGACATATGGAAAAATCCACGTACATAAATTTGTATATAGTGAAACTACCGGTTATTACGAAAATGTTCCTGTGTTGTTAAGCGGTACTTTTTACACCTACAGTGTAAGTGCAAATAAAAATGAAACTTTCATCATTAATGAAGACATGAAAAATCATGAATATTTTGTTATTTGAAAACTCAGTGAGGCTAGTATTATTATTTTCAGCTTGAATTATTCTTGCATCTTGAACAGATTGCTGAAAATATTTTGTTCCTTTTGTTTTGCCATTTATTTTAAAGGGAGTCAGAAATTTACATTTAGAAGGGTACAGTGTTGTCAATTTACGTGATTTTTCTAGAATGAGATTTTAATAGATCAATTGAAAATTTATGGTATAGCAATTTACAACAAGTTTAGAAAGTTAGAAAGAATTGTACATGATGTTTCAAAAGCTGAGTAGCAGACACATTGAACATTCAGTTTGTTTTGTAGATGTTTTAAATAATTGTTGTGACTTAACCTTATGGATTAATTACGTTGGCCAATGGCATACAGTGTATTTTGTATTTTCATTTAATCTACAGATTTCGTAGTTTTTAAAGTACAAATTCATCAAAACACAATTTTTCACAAATTTTTTCAACACTCTGTCACCAATTTGGCACAGCATTATTGAAAACAGAGTGCAACAAAAGTACTATCTGATAGCCCAAGGCTAGTGAAGCAACTCATGAGCTAGGTGTCAATTGAGTAAGCAGCATTTGCCAAGATAAAGAGTAATCTGAAATGCTACAGAGAAGGGGTTGGTTGACCAGCATGAATGCTGTACCATGGCTACTAAACTTCAGCAACAGTTTGCCCAAAGGGCAATGAGTTTTAATTTTCATCTCACCCTGATTCAGGCACCTATCAGCTTCTTCTCAGTAACAAAGGAGCTGTAACATTAAGCAATAGTAAGGGCGGATTTAGGGGTGGGCCAAAAAGGGCCTTTTTTCCTTGAAATTATTTTGTATCATTTTTATAGAACTCTCGGAATAA